CACATACAATTTCCAGGTGTACACGAGACTGCAATGTGGTCGCCGCGTCCCCTGTGGCGAGCTCACCTCCGGACGCGCAGTTTCCATCTGTTACCACACTCGACGCCATTTCCCCACGTCCCCCGAACACGCCCCTTCTTCGCCCTCTGGTAACCACCAGTCTGTTGTCTGTACCTGAGTTTGTCTGGGTTCGTTTTATGAGTTTGTTTGTTACTTTTGTTCCATATTCCACATGAGTTAAACCATGCAAGGTTTTGTTCTTTCCATTTGACTTATTTCATTAATCGTAATACTCTCAAGAGTATCAATTAATTTTTAAGCAACGGTAAAATTTAGCCTGGTCTACATCTGAATGGTTTTTTTTTTAAGATAGATTTAATTAAAACCAAATTTAGGTGCTTTTTCTATGCCTGGAAGTACTTTCAGACAGGATTTTTTATTTTGAGGGGTAGGGAAAAGACGGGTTCAGAGAGGTAGTACCTATCAATAATGATGAGAAGATCTACTCCTTGAGATAATAGCTCCTACTTTCCAGATAAAATAGGCCCTTTTCCAGGAATATTAAGCTTTTCTAGGCCTGTGGTAGAAGACAGAAGAGTTGGGGGAGATGCCTGAGAGTGAAGGTGACAGTCACCTATTCACGGTGCCTGATATGGAAAAAAGTCTGCAGGTATTTTTGGAAAGGAATGATTTTATCTCCTAATCATAAGTTTAAGTTGGATACCATTAACCTAGGCAAAAGATCAAAAGTACTGGCTTTAAGCCATAAATGTTTCATGAGTATTTAGATTTTATCAACACTGTACTTTAACAATAAAACCAAAATGGGTAGAGAAATAATGTGCAGACTGAACGGAGCAGCCCCCATCACTGGCACCCCAAACAGGCACAAAAGGAAGGATTCCTACAAGGAACCAAAGGGCTCTGAGGAGACCCCCTGACCCCACCCCACCAGACAATTTTTGACACTGCCATGCGATGCTGCCCCACTGATGTCCAAATTGTACACATGCCACCTTTTCACTACCCTCCCTAGTATCAGAAAAACTTTGTAATAATTCACCTTCAGGCACCACCTCAGTATTAGGGGCAATACAAGAGGGTGTACCTGTCTTCAGCCTCCCATACAGTTCAGAGATGGTGTGATGTCACCAGCAAGGTCAGCTGCTGGGACATCACCCCAACCAGAGAACAAAGCTATCCTTAGTAGAAGACAATAGCCACCCTGAGACTTTATTTTGTTAAACACTTCTCCACATTAGGTGAACGTACTAAATTTTTCTAATTTCTAAGCCACATTTATAAAAAAAATGAAGACTGCATGAACTACTTTTTTATACTCTGAATGCTAAACTATCATTCAGCATGCTCAAGACAAAGCATGGTGGATATTCTTGATAAAAGAATTATGTACAAAAGGATCATAATAGTAAAAGCTAAAGACTGACTAAATTTTGCATGGAAAAGTATTGACTTTTTAGAAAATCTACCTACTATTCAAAAAAGGGTACATTTTGGTGGTTCCTAGATGCTGAGTCTTAGACTTGCTGTCACAGATTACATGGGAAGCATTTTAAAAGATTCCTATGTCTCACCTCTGAACACTGATCTAATAGGTCTAAAGTGGGTCCCAGAACCTGTATTACTCACTCACACTCCTTGTGATTCTGATGCAAGAGTTTCAAAGCGCCTGAGGGACTTTGCCCCACTCGTTGCAGAAATACTGAATCTCTGTCATTTATTCAGTACAAGATCCATCTGCCAAAACCCTACTGGGCTGATGCCATTAGGAAGCCCCAAGAGAAAGTGCTAAATAAACCACCTTTCATAGCATTTGATTCACTGTTTCAATATTTGAATAACTAGGAATTTCACCAAACACACTAAATGCTAGGTGCCTTGGAAAAACAACAGAAACTCGAGGAGTACACAAACACTTGAAATCTGTACGTAACGTGTACGTTTAATCTACTGCAGTTTTCTGTAAGAAGGCACAGTCCCATGGCAAGAGTTTTGGTGTGGGTATCAGAAGCCAAGGATTTGAGTCCCAGCTCTATCTTTAACTGCCTGATCTTAGCTAAATTATATGACCAGTCTCGACTTTTTCATTGTGGGCGGAGGGTAAGGCTGAAGTCTAAATTATACATGGGTATCTTCAATCCCTAAACTTGTGTGGTTTCTCATGGGTAAAGAGAGCGTATCTCAGAGAAGGACAAACACCACCCAAGTTGAAACGACCCAGCAGCAACTTCAAGACGTCAGATGGGCTCCCAAAGATGGGACGGCCACTATTAAAACTGCAACGGGCGGGAAAGGGGACGGCGGGAAGTGGGAGCTAGGAAAGCCTATGTGCAGGGGCCAGGAGTGAGATGGGCTTGCAAGTGAAGAGCCAGTCTGACTACCATGGAGAACAGCATGCGGTAAAAATGGTACACGCCACAGTTAAGCCAAAGGATATGGTAAAACAACTGGGAAATACAAGAGAATTTTGAGTGAGAAGTACTATGAGGAAATAGGTGTTTTTATAAGATTATCCTGATACCTTTCTCCAGAGTGGACTGAAGGAAGGAAAAAAAGAGTGAGCTATAGAATAGTGTTGCAGGGAACAAAAAGGAGCTTAAAGGCAGCTTCCCAAAGGTAACTTTGAACACTAGAAGAGAACTGGCTCAAGATGCTGGATAAGAACACAAAACATATCTAATAGAAAATAACAAAAAATACAAGAAAGAACAAACAGACAAAAAAATAATACTCTATAGATTTGGAAAAGGGCCTGCTTTGGCTCCCAGAGAAATCTGGGCCAAACTGAGGATACCAGCTGTTATCTGATATTTCTGAAGGAACTGAATGGGGGTGGGGAGAGAAGTAGCCTGCTGCTTATCCACCCCCCCCCCCCACTTCACACAATCAGAAGAGAAGCAGCAGATGTCACAGTGTAAAAGCCACCAGGCATTACTGTCCTTTCTCCCAAGCAGCCAGGCCCTGAAGAGAAGACCAGCAATGGATGGTCGGAGACCTGCTCTCATCAACTCGTCTTCCTGCAGGCAACAGGAATTCTATGGCCACCTGTTTTCCCCCGCATTTCTGCTTTGTTGTGGACTTTATGGCAAAACAACTGACTTCGAGCAAAACAACAGGCTTACTACAATAAAATAAGGGTGGTTATTTCTGGAATAGTGAAAAGGGTATAACTTGAAATGAGCCATTCCTATCACTGATTCCAATTCCTTAACCACAACCCAGAACCTCAAAATCATACTAAATTAGCAGCAATCCTGGACATGAAATCAAGTTGGGAGGCCCACGAAAATGCACAACAGGACAGAGAACACACAAAATAACCCAAAGGTAACCAAATAGTGAGTGTCTTTTTAAAAGAGTACTTGAATGCTAATTAACAATACTATTAAAAGGGTAATCTCTGTGACATAAATAAAAAGTATGCATAAAAGTATGAACAATTAGAAAAAGCAGTCCAGGCTGGAAAACCAACCTCAAAGCACACCTAAGCCTTTGTGAGCTTAGACTGTATTAGAAAGCTAATTTTTTCCTCAAATTTTGATAACATAGTAACCAGTTCATTTTCCAACTCAAGGGTGAAACTCTTCATACACAGGACATTTTATTCATCAAGAAATATGTAGAACTCTTGAACATCTTACATCCAAGTGTATTTGAGAGCCATCATGTGTATTTTCCTTTAGGTGAGTCACAGCGGGAAGGCATTTTTCCCGGGGGCTGATGAACATAAAGAATGAGATGTCAAAACTACCCAGGGCTAATGAAATACCTTAACCAACAATTCTGAGAGAAGCAACTTTTAAAGCATAAAGATGACACTGCATTTCCAGACGCCTGAAAAAAATGAGCCGAAATCCTCTAGACAAGTCTCTAAGCAAGATGAATGCCACAGTCAGCCTCGACTAACTTCCCCTCACCACTCCAGGCTATAATCTGAGCAGACTTCTTAAATCAAGGGTGGAAAATAGGTTCCAACTTGAGCCAATTGATTGAGGTTGTCTGGAACACTATTTTGAAAAATATTTGGGAGCCACATCTAAACCCAGGGAGAAAGACTGCTGTGATTGATTGGCAATGTCTGCACTGGGCAGGAGAGGAAAATTGATGGCACGTAACTGAGAGTTTGCCAAAGGCAACATCCCTTTTATTTTCTAAAGGAAAAGAAATCTACACTGCAAACTGGATTAACTTCTTATCCAGAGAGAATCTACATAAGAACTTCAAAAATGCATGGAAGCAGAAAAATATCCACAAAATTATAACCTCTGTGGCACATAAGCTCTTCTAGTCTATCTCCTCAAAGCAAGCTGAATCTGCTAGAGTCAAGTCAAAATACAGCCCAGGGACCATATCCAGCTGCCACCTGCTTTTTTTTAACAACCCATGAACTAAGAAAGGATTTTTTTGTATTTTTTAATGATTGGGAAAATAAAAAAGACTATTTTGTGATGCATAAACATTCCATGAAATTCAAGTTTCAGTGTCCATAAATAAAGTTGTACAGGATCACAGCCCCATCTGTTAGTTCATGTATTGGCTATGGCTGCTTTCAAGCTACCAGAGGAGAGCTAAGAAGTTGTGACAGACACTGTGTGGCCGGAAAAGTTAACGTATTTACTGCCTGACCCTTAGAGAACAGGTGTGCCAATGCCTGTGCTAGAAGGATTGGCCTAGAGTTTCCTCAAATTATGTGGCAAGTAACTTGCTATAAAGGAAGGAGATTTAATTCAGTAGGCTTCATAAAGTACGTACCTAAAAAAGTTGCTGCTATTTGTTAACACAGGACTGATTATACAGAGTGCTCCTAAATGCAGTTTCCCCCATCACGCGACACCACCACCAACAAAATTCCACTATTCCCCCCAGAGAAGTGTCTCTGTGGGCACAAGATGAATAAAGGAAAGAACTGCAAGTAGACCTTAAATTTGTTCAATGTTTTGCAAGTAGATATAGCAGATACTAAAATTTTTTATACATACTTTTATTGTTTTGGTTTGAAGTCTCAATCCATTCAGGGTGTTGATAGCTTTTTCTGCATCCTTCGGGTCAATGTAGTTCACAAAGCCATATCCCAAGCTCTGCCCTAATGAAAAGGAAAGGGAAAAAAGCACACATCAGTTCTACACTGCTGATGACAGAGATCCACTTTCCCTTTAGCATATCGTCTTGTCATTAACACCAGCAGATTTTCTCAGTGGTAAAAGAAGTTCACGTTAATTCTTCTAGAAACATGTATGTGATCTTTTTCATCTCCTGTCTACATCTGCAAGTTTAAACATCTGTTAAAACCCAGCAAGCTATGCCATTTAAAGACACACATCCCCCAGGAGTTCCAGCTTGCGGGTCCTGCCTGAGCCGGTGCACCCAGCAGCCAGGCAGCAGTCAGCCTTGGAAACCGTGGGTGCAAGTCTACACGGAGCTGCTGAGTGGGCTTCCCGGGCACGACTTTTTCTGCTTCAGTTCCCTTACCCATCAAATGGGAAGGTGGGAAGCATCAACCAAGAGTGTGTCAGTGTTCTGGGCACTGCATACTGACAAATTACCAACTTTACTAAGTACAATTATTTCAGAGTCTAAAATGGTGAAGAATGGCATGTGTGTGTATTAACATGTGTGTGTTGTGTCTGTGTGTGTATGTACTGGGGTGGGCAGAAGTAGGCGTAATACTGTAATACTGTACAAAGACATAATATGTTAATAAATAATACAAGAATAAGCTGCTTTGTGTAATCACAACTATAAACCTACTTTTGCCCACCCCTCTATGTAGAGAAACATTTATTTTAGAGGAAAGCTTCTTCAAATAAACTGAATCCAACCTTCTAAAAGGGGGTTGATAACCTAGCTGAAGAACACAAGGAGATAAGAACACAAGGATTTACACTAAGGCTGCCCAAGCCCATGAGAACGTATGGGAAAGGGGGAAAGAGCATAAACAAAAGTAACAGAACAGGACATTTCTGCAGTAAGACTTGCTTCAAAATAAGTCTTTTGATGTTGCTTTTCCCTATCATCTGAGCCTTCTCACCCCTGACGCAGTGATGTCCCATCTCTCAAAACAATAAGAAATAACAAGGGACTGGAAACATGAAATGCTCACACAATTAAAGCCAATCCTAAAGGCCTCAATTTTTCAACTAAGGGAGAGTTTCTCAGTCTGAAAATGTTAGAAACACTGGAGAGTAAATGACAAAAATGGACACAGAAAAGGTCAGTCTACTTAACGTCAAACCAGACTTATTGGAGAGTTTCCTGGAATATGCTCAATAAAGGTCCAAATGCTTTTAATTAAATACCATCTTTTATTAATTTCGTAACAAAGTAAGCAACTTTTTTTCCCTTTTAAGAGGTGCCTTAGGTCCAAGTGGCTATGAATACAGGTATTTGGGATAGCCATTCTGGTTACCCTAATGTGGTTCACTGTAACTATACCAAAAAGATAGAGGGGAGGGGGCAGTGGGATGAGGGGGAAGAAAGGTAGGGGCGCGGGGGGGGGGGGAGCAGGCTAAATACACTACCTAATAATCATGAACACTTGTGACTGTATTTTGGAAATCACTATCACTACGTGGGCTAATCACTGCTAGCATTTTTCTTGCATTTTTTAAAGGGGGAAAGCTAAAATTAACTTAGTTCATTATTTTTTGTCACACTAATCATATTTTGTTTTACACATGGTTCTATTTTTTAAAAGTTGCAGGGGAAACCAGTATATTTTTAAGCCTTCAGCCTTTTACTAATTCAACAAACATTTATCACATGTCTATTGCATGCAGAGTGAGTGCCTCCTTTAGAAATGGGCTTCAAATCTTTTATTGCCGAACAGGATTCAAACTGGCTGAACATATTAAAAATATTTGCTCAAGGAAGCAGTTTATGATGAAAAGAACACGGTCTTTGGAGCAAGGCACACGGGGGGTTCCAATCCTGGCTGTGCCACTTACCAGCTGTGTGACTCTGAAGAAGCTACTTAACTTCCTTATTTCTAAAATAAGAAGAATCCCTATCCAATAAGGTTGCGCTAACAGTGACAACAACATTCGCTACCAATGGAAGTAGATCGTTCTGCCCAAAAGATAAAGTGAGAAAAAAATTATGTGTTCCTCCTGTATATTAAGAAGTTTAATACATTCATTTAAAATTAATCAGGAAGATGTTACAAATACTACAAGAAAAGGAAAGGCAAGCCGAACACTGTACAGTTTTGTCTGTTATTCTATGACTAAATAAATCAAATTATCAGTAGTACCAGCATTAAGTGTCCATTTCTCCTATGTAATGACATTACCCTCACACCTGCATTTCAGCAGCTTCTAATCACAGTTCTTTCTCAACCTTGGCTACACAATGAAATCATCTACAAAGCTTTAAGGAAAAAAACCTGATGCATAAGACCCAGTTCCAGAGATTTTTATTTTATCAGTCCATTACAAAGTACTAGTACTAGGTTTTTAAAATCCTGGTGACTCTTAACATGAAGCCAATGCTGAGAATCACAGTTTTAATGGCGAGAGATAATCCAGGACTATAAATGAGGTTTCCAGGAGCCCTGCGAAGGGCCCGGTGCTGCTGGTCTGGGCATAGAATGTGACTCTGCAGAGAAGAGTGCCTTTTACAGATGTATTTTTAAGATGTAAGTAGACGTCTTCTAAAATCATCAAGTCATCCATCACTTCAGAGAAATGGTTTCTTGGCCAGCTGCGGTCACTCCTGAGTACAGCAGTGCCTACTGGAGTTGGGTCAATGGGTAAAGCAAAAAGCCTGTCTGGCCAGTCCTTGCTGCTTAGTGGTCTCCCAGGCTGGCCTCTGAGCTCTTACTCCCAGCCCACCTTGGGCACTCAAAAGCTTGCTAAATGAGAAAATGAGAAGCATGATGGTGCTGTGTATTTAACCAAAGGTATTACCAACATCATCATCACATGGCCCATCCACTTAATGGATCTTTGACCTGCCCCCCTGGAGCAATCAAGGCTAACTATAGTAATGATGAATCAGCCAATTTTCTATTGCTATTAGCTTAAGCAAAGTAAATGAAAATGTATCCGCTGCTAAAAGTCTACATTCCTAAATACACTCTCACAAATGCATTAAAATGTTGGCGTTGGAACACAAAGGAGTTAGAAACCTCACAGACTTTCAAAGCAATTCAAGCCAGCAAATATTTATTGGATGCTTAATAAAAATATCATGGATGATACACCGAGATAGGCAAGACTCTCCCCAATCTCCCCTTTCAGCTGTACAATGTTTTACGGTTTAAATTTAGCCTCCATCAACCATGTGTGATGCTCATAGTCTCCTGTAAGGTAGAAAGGAAATCTGGAGGCAGGCAAGGCCAGTCAGCAGCTTCAAACTAAAAAAGGAGGTAGCAAGTAGTGGTTGAGTCCACGATTCTCAAGTGTGACGGTGTTCTCCACTCAATTCAAACTAGTTTGTATCTGAACCTAGAACATCTTCAATATGCCTGAAGTATAATGAATGCAACAGGCTGGCATTTCCTAACAGGGTTCTATTGTCAAAAAAAGTTTTTTTAGACAGTTGTCCACTGTTTTTGAATTCCCGTTATTTCTTATGTAAATACTGGTTTCACTATACATGAGTTTGTATGCTTTTATTAATTTCTGTGATGAAGTAAATTTCATCTTATATAGTGCCTTATATATGTCAGGTTATTATTATAAGTGAGTACAGATTTTTTAAAAAGCAAACTGCGCCAAGTCAAACACCAATGAAGAATATGTATCTGGGATCTACTTCTTCTCACTCATATCCATCAGCTAGTAACAGTCATAAACCACCAGAGAAGGCTTGGAAACCAAGCCTCGTTTATCCATATCATCTAAATCTACTTTTCAAATCATTCTGAATTTAGAATGTGCATACTGACAATCCCAAAACCCAGAATCACTTCCTTAAAAAATTTATCAAGCTCTACATTTAAATTCCAAATATAACCATTATGGAAATCAACAGGAATATAAGAAAATTCCGAACAAAATGACAAAGCCAAGGCTCCACCACTTTAGGAAGCAAAAAAAAAAAAAAAAAAAGCCTCTGGTAAGTGAAAATGAAGAATACAGTCAACATTACTTGTGCCCACAAATTACCTATAGTCACAGGCTCTTGGGGATTTTGGCCCATTAAACGAAGCCTTGGTCCCTAACAGCCATGGGAGGGACTCATAACTTCCCTGTGGAACACGCTGTGTGAACAGTCACACAGCTGAAGACCTTCGCACAAGTACTCGAAACCCCAGGTCAGTAACTGCACTTCAGCATTTGTATTGTGTATGCCGTGTGTGAATGCCTTTTGTTTTGCATCCTCTTTTTTAACTAACACATTTGCAACAGAAAAGGATCCCTTTTCCCAAGAGACAGAAAAATCACTTATAAACTGCTCTTGGCATAAAGAAAACAGTTTCAGACAGACTGCTTCCATGGTCAAGTGATCTAAAGCACCGAGCTGAGATGCTCCGTGGGCCTCTCAATGGGACTGAGGCCCGTTGAAAGTCACATGGGGGTCAGAGCAGGAAGGGCAACACAGGAAGAGGATCGTGTAGTGACAAGAGTGCTAGTGGCAAACACAGTAAACTCCAATTTATCCCAAACTGTGCATAATTCAAACCAGCAGCAGTCCCTTGCCAACTGCATTGCTTTTAATAGCACACTTTAATTAAAATTTTAATTGCATATTTTAATTAAAAATACACAATCTTCTGAGCCCATTTAATTCAAAGGTCACTTTATTTAGTCTTTTCTATTTCAAATTACTACCAACGTACAGAATATCAAATTGTCCCCTCAGGTTTAAAGGTAGTGGCAATAGACCACCATAATTCTTGATTATAAACCTAGCACATTAATTTAATTTTATCCAACCAATAGTAAGTGAGAAGAACCCTCTCAACATGAAAGGGTGGAGAATAAAATTCTGTATTTAAGAAAAGGTCACACTACATATTTCTCACCAACACTTATTATTCATTTGCTCAACAATTATAGAAAGCCTACTTTTTGGTCATCCCTGAGGGACACAGCAAAGAGACAAAAAGTTCCTCTTCATAAAACTTATTATCCTGGTAAA